GACAATATAGACAAACTCGGCAATTTTACTTTCCGGTTATCACCACGAGCATAATAAAAAACAAAGAAAAATACACACCTAGTTAATGAAATATTTACAAGTACATAATATAACGAGCAAACCTAAGAATAGTAATGTTCTCGAAAATAAGATACATCCCTGTTTTAACGCAGAACTGAATTGTTAAAGAACTCTTTTGAAAAGGTCAAAAAATTCGTTGACACTTTTAGATAAACAATTTCGCTAACCCTCTTTCACAAACTTTATCCACTTTATTTAAGTATGTATGTAAGAACGTATTCAGAAGCGCAACAAAAAAATTAAAAAAACAAAACAAAACAAATTTTGATTTTATCTTCACTTGAAAAGAAAAAAAATGATCATGGCGTCAAATAGATTGTAATGTTAAATTCAGGACTATTTCAGACACTCTTACATCCGTTGGGCACCACGACCTACATTTACACAATTATCAAACAAAGGTTGGAAATATTCTTAAAGACGAACACAGAAATCAGATCAATACATCTTTCCGAAAAAAAAAAAATTTCCGGCTGTAAATATGGATAAAACCTTGGTGTGATATTAATTGTTTGCGTCATAATGTATGTGAATCGCGTGAGACTTTTTGGAGGTGAAACACTTTGTAAGTATAAAGTTTGGCCGAGTTTATCTATGTTGTCACCTTGTGAGATATTTTTGGAGGTGACACCTTTGTAGGTGTAAGAGCTATCTTGTGCTTAATATTTATTGGCGGTGAAACCTTTGTGGGTTTAAGAGTTAATCAGTATTTTAGATTTCTTGGAGGTGACACCTTTGTAGGTGTAAGAGCTTGTGCACTGTCCATCAATATGTTATTTTGTGTTCTGTGTATGCACAAATATGTACATATATATACTGTATGTATGTATGGGTGTGTGATGGTGTGTGCGTGAGGGTGTATATAGATACATCATAATAATGGGTATCTATTTTGTAAATAAATCTTGCTAAAAATAATTATGTTATAAGGAATGAAAGTGATGAATGTAGAATGAAAGCCCTCCTGTGTGATGGCAATATTTTGTAAAGGAGGTTGAACCCAGAGCTCCTCAACTCTGGCAGCCCCTAATAATGATTGCTGAGCTGAGGGATTAAAATTAAAAAAAAAAAAAAAAAAAAGGTTTAAGAGCTATCTAGTGCTTTTTGTTAATGACACTTTGTCGACCACCTACTTTATTTAAATGACACTGATTGAGATATTTGAAAACCTCCTCGTTAGATTATCCGTTCTTTTATCGACAATCTATTGTACCTTGATGTTATATCATACTCAGCAGTAAAACTTACATATATCATACTCAGCAGTAAAACTTACATACATCATACTCAGCAGTACAACTTACATATATCATACTCAGCAGTAAAACGCAGTAAAACACATATATCATACTCAGCAGTAAAACTTACATATATCATACTCAGCAGTAAAACTTACATACATCATACTCAGCAGTACAACTTACATACATCATACTCAGCAGTAAAACTTACATATATCATACTCAGCAGTAAAACTTACATACATCATACTCAGCAGTAAAACTTACATACATCATACTCAGCAGTACAACTTACATACATCATACTCAGCAGTAAAACTTACATATATCATACTCAGCAGTAAAACTTACATAAATCATACTCAGAAGTACAACTTACATATATCATACTCAGCAGTAAAACTTCAGCAGTAAAACTTACATATATCATACTCAGCAGTAAAACTTACATATATCATACTCAGCAGTAAAACTTACATAAATCATACTCAGCAGTAAAACTTACATAAATCATACTCAGCAGTAAAACTTACATAAATCATACTCAGCAGTACAACTTACATATATCATACTCAGCAGTAAAACTTACATATATCATACTCAGCAGTAAAACTTACATAAATCATACTCAGCAGTACAACTTACATATATCATACTCAGCAGTAAAACTTACATAAACAACAAAGAAAATTCCAACAACCAACATGTCAAGAGAATCGCTATGCAAACTCATTTATAACACTATGAAAAATATGAACAAAGAACCGGTTTATACGGAATACAAAGAGAATAAGACAATGTGTTCCGGAAGAGTTAGCGTCTTCTGCGTCATTGACGACAGGCGCCATGTAAATCTTGGTCAACCATGATCCCAAATGAGATGAAGTACGGAACTACCAGGCATCCTCTGTAGCATCAGAGAAACCTTAGAAGCATTTCATTTGTCAATCAGGCTACCAATACATGCTGACTTTTAGGACCGATGAGAGTTTTCAGCAAACAACTGATTCAAAGATCAGAATTTTGAAGTTCTTAGACACGAATAAGTTTACGTCAAATTGAAAATTGTACACAAGATGTAAACGATTGACATTGAAAGACGGTTATTCAAGTTTCATTGAAAATGACTTTAAAATGTTGTAACAGGGAAAAAACACGATTGTGTGTGTTTTCTGTTCTCTGTTTTATTTATATAGTTCATTACATAGGAGTACTTGTTTATTTATTTTTGTAAATGATCTATAGAGAGGAACAGACAACAAACATTCTTGTCGTACCGCTGCGAATTAGTTAAAAAACAGATTTAAAAAAACAACAACAAAAAACAAAAACTAAAACAAGAAAACACACATGCGCCGGCTTATCAGTTCTGTTCTCCGCTGTATATCCAGTCCTCACTCATTGTCTTTGCAGTTTGCTTTTTTAAAATCGGAATATTGTAGATTTCTACCAGTATTGAATGTATTTTTTCAGTGACCATAGTCTGTCCGAAATCAATACTTATACCATATAAGATGAATTCGATCACACATTAGCCTGCCTACCAGCAGAGTGGTATAGGCATTCACTACGACAAGTGGGTTTATTATTCGGCTGTGTGAGTATAGAGGTTCACTAGATAAGTGGATTAATCTGCGGCTGTGTGTGTATAGAGATTCACTAGATAAGTGGGTTAATCTGCGGCTGTGTGAGTATAGAGGTTCACTAGATAAGTGGGTTTATCTGCGGCTGTGTGAGTATAGAGATTCACTAGATAAGTGGGTTAATCTGCGGCTGTGTGAGTATAGAGATTCACTAGATAAGTGGGTTAATCTGCGGCTGTGTGAGTATAGAGATTCACTAGATAAGTGGGTTTATCTGCGGCTGTTTGAGTATAGAGGTTCACTAGATAAGTCGGTTAATCTGCGGCTGTGTGTGTCTAAACATTGGTTCCTACATCACGTCTGAATTATTAACATCATAATGAGAAACTACGGATTTCTTTATCTGCAGGTAAGTGTATTTATTATGTATGTGTAATTATATCCACGATAACAATAGGACTGATAAATACGTTACTATGTAACTCGGCCGTTGGTTACAATTAATTAAATGTTACATTAATGACGAAATACTTTACCAATGGAACGATTCCACCATTAAATAGATAAGATTTTTTTATTTGTGTAATTATTATAATTGTCGATATATTATTTTTATGGAGTTATTTTGTATGAAAAAAAAATCTAAAAGCAAACACATAATGAGATGGGTATTATCGATGTGAGCACAAATATATTGAAAGATTAGTCGGATGAAACTGTTTGAAACAACCCTCGGTTTTAATAATTTCGAATGCAAGTATGATCGCGTAAACTAAGATTCATGATTTGGTTTTTCGATGATGCTTTAAAGTTTGATATATATATATATATAATTCAAAAAAGATAAAAACTTTGTGTATCGTATATATGGAAAATCAAAACATTAACATGGCAAATAAAATCGTATGAAATCGCCGCTAACGTTTTCCGGCCTTGTGGCCATCTTCAGGCATTTGAATTACGTTACATAGTAACCTAAATTGTGACGTAATCTTATTGTTTCAATATAAAGGGGAGTTGATAACGTTAATAGCCCCAGCGCAATCGTTAATGTGCGTTAAGGGACGAATTGAACAGTTTAACAAAAAAGTCTTCTTTGCTGATTCGCTTAGAAATGTAAGTTCTGACATTTTGTAGAACGAGAATATCCAAAAGTGTGCTTTGCTGCAGTTGTCCAAATGTTCACTCAGCGGTATATTCCGTGTTTCCAGTTCAGTTCAGATCTTTAGTCCCATAACTTAATACATAAGTGTTGAGAAGGTACAACATGTGATTATACAGTAATGTAAAGATAGCCTACACATTCTATACAATGTACAACAGGTTACCGAGGAGGGTTTAGTTTATCTTTAAAAGCGGATCTGTTGTCAGTGGACACGAACCCTTTTGGACAGGGCATTTCCTGTCTGTCCAATGTCATTTTCAAGACGAATGGGACAAGTGATGCAGTAAATAAGATTTCTGCTTTTGCAATTTAAATCGCTGTTTTGTTTAATTACTTTCCCTCTTAGATGTGTTTACATGTTCAACATCTGGTATCCCCGCATTTCGATACCACATAGTCGCGCTGCTCACTGATATCAAATTTAGGTCGGGTTAGTATTTTCTTCAAATTATTTTATTGCCTTTTACTTTGAAGAATATCCGATGGCTTAAGGAGATCGCGCATCTTTGTGCTCTTGTGTAATATGGCGATAGAAGTTTTGGCAATTTCAACCGGCATATTACAGTGACCCGGGTTGTGTGTCAAAATGAACGGTTTGTCGGTTTTACTTGCTTGTCTTCCTTTGGGCTTCCTTAATTCTTCCAGAGGTATTGTTTTGGCGCGTTCAATACCCTTTGTAATTAACTGTTTGGGATAGTGTTGTTTGCGTAGAAATATTTGAAGTTCATTTAGTCTCTCCGTTCTTTTCACGCTATCTATCACAATGGCACATATCCGCCGTGCTAAGCAGAATGGTATGTTTCTTCGATTTTTACTGGGTGAATTCACAAAGAATATAAGAGTAAAGTTTTCCATTCCATTTTACACTGAATATTTTATGTTTGATTTTCAAGTTATATGGATTATCAACTGATGTGTTTTCAGATGCTAATGACAATGCAAACCGTTTGCGGTCTATACATGATACAGGTACGTATTAAGGTAGCCCTATAAGGTAACAGGTGGTTGACATAAAACGTTAGCATTACTTTATTGATAAACAACAATGTCACTCATACGGTCAACGTCGATCTAGTAATCCGTATTGTAGTCTGACGTTATAATTAACACTGTGTTATATGCTAATTTAGTATCCAATATGTTGTATTTCATGATTACGTTTACCTATCTGTTTCTAGGATTGCTTAGATAACATCGGAAATGAGTTCGTGTTGATGTTTATGAATCAGAAGAAGACGGGTTTGCCTTTCTTACTGTTTCTAACTACGCCCCAGCCTTCCCCGGTCACTGTTAGAATAAGAACGCCCCACGCGCTCTCTGCAGTACCAATTGATATGACACTTTTAGTGTATAACACCAATCTGACCAATGTCGTCCTTCCAGAGACACTAAAAAGTAGCCTTAACTGTGAGAAGACGTACAAGTCACTTCTTGTCACAAGTGATGACGTCATAGTCTTGTATGCATCCAATATGCAGCACAAGAGTACGGACTCGATGGTGATATATCCTACAGACACTTTGTCTAATGAGTACATTGCCGTGTCAAGGATCTCGGACAAACCTAATCCTGCCTACAAAGGCTCTCAAATAGGAGTGGTTGCTCTAGGGTCTGGCGTGATTTCATTCTATCTGCCACCCACTGTCTCAGTGCTGTACAATAGCACTACTTATACAGAAGAGATGCACGTGACATTAAACATGTATGAAGTATTCCATCTCGTAACAACAGATGTAACAGGTATTGTCGTTAAAGCTAGCATTAAAATGGCAGTTTTTTGTGGACATTCATTTATGAAATTTGGGGAAGATTCTGGTGATCACATGGAGGTAATGCTCCCGCCCATCCAGTCACTTGATCGTCAATATTTGGTTGCCAGGAAACCATCAATTAAATACAGGCCTGAACTTATTCGTATAGTAAGTACTTCAGTAGCAACACATGTCAACATCAGCAATGGTATCAACACTACTAGTGTGGAACTTCTTATTGTCGGATCTTACTTTGACTACGAACTAGCCTCTACAAGTTTTATTATAAACGCTGATAAAGCAATCTTGGTTGCTCACATAAGTCCTTCCCGAAGTATAGATGGACAAATTGGTGATTCATCAATGTCTTTAGCATTCTGCCCTAACTATTTGTCTTCGTTCTATACCTTTGGTGTTCCGGCGACATCCGACTCGAACCTACATCAGTACAATCTACTTATCATTGTGGAGGAGACTTACGTGAATAATGTATTATTTGACGAAGTACCTTTGGGGCTTGTTAATTGGACAAATATAGCGGACAGCGGATTTGTGGTCACAGAAATTGAAGATATCACCGACAATAGACATACACTCTCAAGTGATGGACCTGAAATTAGAATGGCAGGTGTTATAAATGGATTTGGATATGGAGAGCAGTTTCAGACTGTAATTGGACGGTATTTGGGAGTTCCAAGGGATCAGGTACGTCGTACATTTTACAGTTTACTCAGTTTCGAAAAAGGAACGCGGGTTTGATAATCGTAATAATTTCTTCTTCTCTGCTATGATTTTACTTGTTTTTGTAAATTACCCTCATATTGGTATCAGTACCCAAGCGGATATTTAACATAAATCTAAACATATGACATTGCAGAACAAAACTGACTTGGTTCCAAATTGTTTTCGGCAGTTTTGTGTTTCTTTTGGTTGAATTCATTTGTGAACGTCAGTCCCCATACTATCCCCCTATTACTAGAATGCTTAATTCATTGATAACATTTACGTTTTGCGGTAAGGAGAAGAGGTCTCAATAGCGGGAAAAACTGGAGGGTCCCAGAATGCATTGTAATTTGACCTGATGATGAGATTATAATTTCAATGTTGTATTTTTTGTTTCGACCTCACATCGGTATACAAAAAACGCTTTTCAGAATTAAGCAATAACTTTCTATTCAAATGTGAAAAAAAGACTGGGTGTTGTTTGAATAGTATATTCTCCATATATATTGTTTTTAAGACTTGCCAGGACATTTAATATTTGAGTTATGTGACATTTTCCGAGATCAATATAATGGTTTATTATTTACACGTTTATGTCTTTAGATCAACACCACTAAAGACGAGGACACGGGTAAGTTTTGAATCATTTCCTATTACAACTACGTCATTGGAAGCAAGAGTTTAGCATGTAAAATTGCCAATTTTCCTAAAAACGCTTGTAATCCTCCGATCAATAGATATGTTATTGCTTCATATATATTTTTATCAAGTTATCGTGTATAGGAATTTGGTATTGATAAAAAAATCTTATTACTTAGAGTATGTGTACCGATCAACTGTCGCAGTCCGTCGTTATATCAATATGCAAAAGCTACACCGGTACATTTAACATCTATAGAGCTACACTGCATTACCTGCACGTGTCACGTGACGACTAACGTTAATAAAAAGTTCAGAGATTTCCCTGACCTAGATACGCTTCTGTCGTTTTATCTATTTTAGAGTATAGAGGAAGGCACCTGTGCGGAATATATCGTGCGCTGGTGTTTTACTATTTGTTTGTTAAATTTCATCATAATGACAGTATTCACATCAACGAAATATCTTTCTTGACAAATAATTTAATAATTTCTCATGTAAAAATCATAAAATGTATGTTGTATCTTCCTTTGAATACATCCTATTTACTTTCATTGATAAATGATGATGAGGTAAGTATACCAAGGTCTGTTACTTTATTCTAATTTTCATTAGACGAGCAAAGATAGAAAAATAGGAAGCGATGGGAGAGAGTAGGGTACAGAGATGAGGTAGAGAGGGACCGTCTGTCTTACTTGACCTGTTCTATAACTATAAGAGGACCGGTTAAGGAGAGAGGGAAGAGGAAGAGGGTCGTACACTAGGTAAATTTCGATAAGTTGATAGTATTTTGGAAGTCTGTCAAAATTACTTTCTTAAATAATCCCTATTGCTAACCTAACCCTAACCTCAGGACCCGCTTTATCACGCCTGTTTTTTTTTTTTTTTTTTTTCTGAAAGCCACCGAGGGATATTTATCGTGCGGGTGGGACATTCTCACACGGGCCACCATTGGAAGTCCCATCCGGCGGACTGTGGCTTTGTGGTTAGTTGTTAGTAAGGTACTGGTGGTGATCTGTTTTGGTGTCCATATCTGTATCCGTCTTTCCATTTCCATCGTCCACTCTATGCACTGTTCGCCTTATCCATGACCATACTTTATGAAAATCCACACTGTTCCTTTCTTTATGTAGCTGTAAACATTTCGATGTTTTCCGATGGCATATCTTGTGATTGTGTGATCAGTATTGGGAGAGGTTGGAGGTGTCCGTAGGAGTTTAATAGGTAGTTAATAAATATACTTGTTACGTGGTGACTTATTGGCCAAATAAATGTTATAGGATATTTTTTTACCTTCGTACATTAATAGATAGAAGTGATAGGCAAAAGAGAACTACTGGGAGAGGTTAGAAAGACGGGCCGATAGGTATTGGGCGGAGTAAAGAAGTTGGGGACGGGTCCTACTAATTATGGGGAGGGAGGGGACGGTGGTTAAGCTCATGTTATGGTATCGTACAATGCATCTATGCGGTTGTATTGTATATTGCGTTGGGTTTTGACGAATTAGAAATGAAGCACTACTTTGTAGGGTGATGGTATCAAGTGTTGTGGTGGTATCAAGGTCTGTGGTATCAATTGTGGAATCAATGATTGTGGTATCTAGGTCTGTGGTGTCTAGGATTGTGTTATTAATGTCCGTGATATCAAGGTCTGAATCAAGGTCTGTGGTGTCTGGGATTGTGTTATTAATGTCCGTGATATCAAGGTCTGAATCAAGGTCTGTGGTGTCTAGGATTGTGTTATTAAAGTCCGTGATATCAAGGTCTGAATCAAGGTCTGTGGTGTCTAGGATTGTGTTATTAAGGTATGTGATATCCAAGGTCTGAATCAAGGTCTGTGGTGTCTAGGATTGTGTTAATAAGTTATGTGATATCAAGGTCTGAATCAAGGTCTGTGGTGTCTAGGATTGTGTTATTAAAGTCTGTGATATCAAGGTCTGAATCAAGGTCTGTGGTGTCCAGGATTGTGTTATTAAGGTATGTTATATCAAGGTCTGAATCAAGGTCTGTGGTGTCTAGGATTGTGTTTTTAAGGTATGTGATATCAAGGTCTGAATCAAGGTCTGTGGTGTCTAGGATTGTGTTATTAAAGTCCGTGATATCAAGGTCTGAATCAAGGTCTGTGGTGTCTAGGATTGTGTTATTAAGGTATGTGATATCAAGGTCTGAATCAAGGTCTGTGGTGTCTAGGATTGTGTTATTAAAGTCCGTGATATCAAGGTCTGAATCAAGGTCTGTGGTGTCTAGGATTGTGTTATTAAGGTATGTGATATCCAAGGTCTGAATCAAGGTCTGTGGTGTCTAGGATTGTGTTAATAAGTTATGTGATATCAAGGTCTGAATCAAGGTCTGTGGTGTCTAGGATTGTGTTATTAAAGTCTGTGATATCAAGGTCTGAATCAAGGTCTGTGGTGTCTGGGATTGTGTTATTAATGTCCGTGATATCAAGGTCTGAATCAAGGTCTGTGGTGTCTAGGATTGTGTTATTAAAGTCTGTGATATCAAGGTCTGAATCAAGGTCTGTGGTGTCTAGGATTGTGTTATTAAAGTCCGTGATATCAAGGTCTGAATCAAGGTCTGTGGTGTCTAGGATTGTGTTATTAAAGTCCGTGATATCAAGGTCTGAATCAAGGTCTGTGGTGTCTAGGATTGTGTTATTAAGGTATGTGATATCCAAGGTCTGAATAAAGGTCTGTGGTGTCTAGGATTGTGTTAATAAGTTATGTGATATCAAGGTCTGAATCAAGGTCTGTGGTGTCTAGGATTGTGTTATTAAAGTCTGTGATATCAAGGTCTGAATCAAGGTCTGTGGTGTCTAGGATTGTGTTATTAAAGTCCGTGATATCAAGGTCTGAATCAAGGTCTGTGGTGTCTAGGATTGTGTTATTAAGGTATGTGATATCCAAGGTCTGAATCAAGGTCTGTGGTGTCTAGGATTGTGTTAATAAGTTATGTGATATCAAGGTCTGAATCAAGGTCTGTGGTGTCTAGGATTGTGTTATTAAAGTCTGTGATATCAAGGTCTGAATCAAGGTCTGTGGTGTCCAGGATTGTGTTATTAAGGTATGTTATATCAAGGTCTGAATCAAGGTCTGTGGTGTCTAGGATTGTGTTTTTAAGGTATGTGATATCAAGGTCTGAATCAAGGTCTGTGGTGTCTAGGATTGTGTTTTTAAGGTATGTGATATCAAGGTCTGAATCAAGGTCTGTGGTGTCTAGGATTGTGTTATTAAAGTCTGTGATATCAAGGTCTGAATCAAGGTCTGTGGTGTCTAGGATTGTGTTATTAAAGTCTGTGATATCAAGGTCTGAATCAAGGTCTGTGGTGTCTAGGATTGTGTTATTAATGTCCGTGATATCAAGGTCTGAATCAAGGTCTGTGGTGTCTAGGATTGTGTTATTAAAGTCTGTGATATCAAGGTCTGAATCAAGGTCTGTGGTGTCTAGGATTGTGTTATTAAAGTCTGTGATATCAAGGTCTGAATCAAGGTCTGTGGTGTCTAGGATTGTGTTATTAAAGTCTGTGATATCAAGGTCTGAATCAAGGTCTGTGGTGTCTAGGATTGTGTTATTAAAGTCTGTGATATCAAGGTCTGAATCAAGGTCTGTGGTGTCTGGGATTGTGTTATTAATGTCCGTGATATCAAGGTCTGAATCAAGGTCTGTGGTGTCTAGGATTGTGTTATTAATGTCCGTGATATCAAGGTCTGAATCAATGTCTGTGGTGTCTAGGATTGTGTTATTAAAGTCTGTGATATCAAGGTCTGAATCAAGGTCTGTGGTGTCTAGGATTGTGTTATTAAAGTCCGTGATATCAAGGTCTGAATCAAGGTCTGTGGTGTCTAGGATTGTGTTATTAAAGTCTGTGATATCAAGGTCTGAATCAAGGTCTGTGGTGTCTAGGATTGCGTTATTAAAGTCTGTGATATCAAGGTCTGAATCAAGGTCTGTGGTGTCTAGGATTGTGTTATTAAGGTATATGATATCAAGGTCTGAATCAATGTCTGTGGTGTCTAGGATTGTGTTATTAAAGTCTGTGATATCAAGGTCTGAATCAAGGTCTGTGGTGTCTAGGATTGTGTTATTAAGGTATATGATATCAAGGTCTGAATCAAGGTCTGTGGTGTCTAGGATTGTGTTATTAAAGTCTGTGATATCAAGGTCTGAATCAAGGTCCTGTGTTTACTGTGTTCAATGTATTCGTCAACTAGATAATAAAAGAAAAGCAAGACCAGGTATAAAATGAGTTACTTCCCTTCTATCATTCACCAACTACCCTCTCTGTGGGAAGAGATTGAAGTTAAGACAACTGATTTTTACTTGACTTCAAAGAGTCCGTATTAAAGTTTCTGCGAGAAAATCTTTTTACTTGTTTTGTGGACAAATATCCAGTTAATGTGTATGTATCACTTGACCAGGCGGACAGAGATGTCCAGATAGCGTCTCTGTTGGGTGCCCCCAGTGAGGACATTTATGAATCATTTTATGACGATTCATCTTTGTTTAATTTTTTTTTTTATTAAAGTTTGTCTCACGTTTTCTGAAAAGGCCTACAATATGACTTTTCAGTAAAGACCATCTCATACCTAATGTTTGATGTGTTCTGCTAGAAATCTCCATTATTGATGAATTGGTTAATCACAGTCATTGTTCAATATTTATAAACATGTATTCTTGCACTTTTTTCTTAAATTTTCACCTACATTCATCATAATCATCATTGTAAATATCTTCAATTTTTGGAGGAAATAAAGAAATGATGATAATGATGATAAAATAGTTTACCTCCCCTTTTTCATTTAACAATTGCTCTCTTTGGGTTAGAGATTGAACAAAAGACAAACAGCTGATTTACACCTTACAATCCAAACAAACTATATCATATTGCTGTTTTGTCTTCCTGAGACTCTATGTAGGTTTTGAAATCGAGGAAATCACGGAGGAAATTCAGTACCTGTCGAAATAAATATCAAAATTTGTATAAAAATGGATGGGGAAGTTTCCGAACATCGTGGTTATATCAAGAATGCATCTTTCCTTATGTATACAGTTCTATTTTGTTGAATATTCCACGTGTTAATGGGAAAATGTTTTACAGTAAATCCGTTTTCTCATAATAAGTTTTATGTCGTATCAATTTGTTAACGTGACGACCTACTATTAGATAAAGACATCTTTCATGAGAAATATGCAATACGTTTGATACCAATTTGCAAAAAACTATTCAATGATATCTTCTAAACATCATATTTATGTTTGTATTTTTCTGAAATACGTTGATTGAGATGATTTAATTTCGTATGCAACAATTTATTAACATTGATTGATGACCAATCGTTTTTATTTCATTTTGGTTTTTATTTGTAAAGTGTCCATTCATATCGTTAGGCATAAATATGTCAAAGTCTACAGAAAACGTTTTATGAATAGTGTATGTGTTATTGTAGATGCTGTGTGTCGACAATATCAATTAGCAAAAAACAAACACCTGATGATTAACAATGAATATCCTTTCATTACAGAACCGTTCCGAGAATCGAGTATAACACAGAGATTCATAGACTACCTTCCTTCCGAAGATCCGTTTTACAACGTAACTACAAGATCCCGAGTACAGTGTTCGACCCTGTGTCTGGAATGTAGTGCCTGTTACCTCCTAGCGACCAGGTCCCTCCTCGGAGTGATAAATGGACCGTTCACATGCGCCCTTTACACCAGTGTCGCAGCCAGTGGACCGTTACAGCCTGCACCCGGATATACGCTTTACAGGCGTTTCTCCTAATCATCTTCAATGATATAACGAATATCTACCAATGTTTATACTAATCTTCTGAATTGTAATGTTACGTACGTCTTATATACAGTACAAAAGATCACGATTTATTTCTGTTACAAAACCCAGATTTTTTTTTAACCATTTTCGAATTCATGACTTTACAAGGACGTAAAACAACGTAGACATCAAATAACAGTTAGGGCGTCAGATTCACGATTGGTTTGATTTCATTCCAACATTGAGAATCATTGAAAAACTGTAAGATAGGTATGCTGTATTTTGAATTATCGGAAATGGTTGATTTTTTAATAAGTGTATATAGACATGTTGTAGCATTAGATCATCTTTATAAAATTAAGATGTAATTATCTTGAGTATACTTCAATCATATCTTGTTTTGAAAATCGAAGCTGAGTTGAATGTAGTGATTTGTCAGTTAATCGTTTCGTTAAACAGATGGCTGTTCTATGTTCGACTAGTTGAAATAAGTTATATTACGGATGACTCGTGACGTCTCGGAGTTGATGCTCACGAAATGGTGTGTCACACGATATGATCGTAAAGTGCGCTGGTTATGTTTAATTTATTTAGTGTTACTCTCGCTTGACCGTTTCACATCTGATGGGGACCTGGCAGGTGTTTCGATACCACGTTTCTATCGTGATATCAATATTGACCCGGTAGACCATGATGTTTGTGATTACAAAACAAACTTATCACCACATAGATTACCCTGTCATGTTCAGGATTAAGTTCGCTGTGCTAAATTGATATACCTTGAATTGGTCTGTATTTAAATCAATTTTGCTGCTGGTAATGGAAGAATATTAAGGATACTTTGTGGCATGATGTGTAGTAGAAGAATTGTAAGCGAGTTTCAACAACGCAACATATTTGCCAACATGCCAATACAACTGTAATTCAGAATTTATAAACGGGTACAAAATTATAAAAAAAAACCACTGCTAACATGCAAACTGTTGGAAACAAAAAGAATAAAGCCAGGAGTTCCACAAGGGTAACTGTCTTCAGCTTTATTGACGAGATCTATGTTAATCTAGGCCAAAACAAGTTGCCTTCTCAAATAAAGAATTTTAATATCAATAGCGCCAGGAATAAAGAGGATTGAACAAATTTTACTGCATACGACATGAAGAAATAAGATATTCAGTGATATCACAATCTTTATCAATCTGCATCTTTCAAAACCCTGAATTGATATGTTTTCCGTTAGCTGTCGGCAGCTTTCATTCATTTTGTGATATATGCACCAGGTACTAGAAGATAAACTATATATATAGTTTAACAGGAAACCACTTTTTACCCAGGTATTCAAAACTCCAATAAAAGTGGTGGAGGGATTCTGTTCTGAAAAAAAAAACCCACAAGAATGAAACAAGGCATCGAAGTATATTAGCAGATTGCCTCCTAGAATGAAAATACGACAAATTCTGCGTAAAGAAATGACTTTGACTTATATTCAAGGTCTCAAGTACGGAAAAGCCCACAAACTGTGACTGTTAGGTTCATAGGAGCAAGCCCAACAAAGTTTACGAAAAACATTACATCGGCCTATATTTAAGGTCTCAGAGTTCAAATCTGTTAAAACCATACAACTTCTGATTATTCAAAAGTTCCAAAGGCATGCTATTTAGCTTCACGGTCTTCATAGTTACTCTAATTGTGAAACATTTTATTTCATTGTGTGATAAGTAGCTGGACCTGTTTGATGTTAATTAGTTTGCCTGTTGGGTCCGTTGTTGTATATCTTATTCTCATTTGAGAATGTGACATTACACTTTCTCAGATTGACCAAGTTTTATATTGCGAACATCATCGATAAAGCAGAATACGCTTACTCTCCCGGAACATCTCGTCTTATTCATCTTGTATTTTCCCAGGAGTCTCAATGTAAATCTTTGTATTGTTCATATTTTGCCCAAGTTTTATTAAAATGGATTTTGGATTATGATTATGTTGAAATGTTGGTATATTTTTGTTTAGCTAAACAGTCCCAAAGGGGCAATTCAGCTCGTGTTGTCGTGCGTCGTCCGTCCGTCCGTCTGTCTGTCATCAACTTTTCCGTTTTAATGGTTTCTTTTCAATAAGTAGGAGTGTTAAAGTATGATGTTTGGCTGACATATTCAAGGTCACTGGGTCGAATTGGTTAAATCTTTTGAACAACTTCTTATCAAGCAAAATGCCCAGAAGCATGGTATTTGACTGATAGATTTCTGATATAAATCTCGACAAAGTTTACGGAAAGAATTACCTTGACCCAAATTCAAGTTCACAACGGTAAAATGTGTTTAAAACCTGAAAATGAGATCTTCTGATTAACCAAAAGGCATAGAAGTATGTTCTTAGGAGATTGGTTCCTAGAATGAAGCACGGCGAATTCTGCGAAGACAAAAGGCCTAGACTTATGTCAAAACTTTTATACAACTTCTGATTAACCAAAAAGTTTAGAAGCTTTGGCTGTTAGGTTCTTGGAGCAAATCCAATGTAGTTTGCGGAAAATTACCTCCGCCTATATTTAAGGTCATATGGTTAAAATCTGTTAAAAACCATACAACTTCGGATTATTCAAAAGGTCCACAGGCATGCTATTTAGCTATGTTTCCTTGAAAGAAAACTTACAGAATTTAAGAAAAAGAATTAACCTTGATCATATTTCTTATAAATTGTCCCCAGTTGTAATGAATTTGCGTTTGGATTATGCTTGTGTTGATATGTTGGTATTTTGTCAGTAATCAGCAGAGATGTATTTATAAATTTAATCCAGGTTTGTATCAAGGTATGAGTTTCTTGCAAAAATATCGTTCGTTCGTTTTAAAGTAAAAATGTTTGATCAAATTCAATATTTAAGGACCAGACCAATAATGCAAAGCCAAACTAAATTCAGCGGACAGGAATAATTTGTTTATATTATCAAATATTCAAAAAAAAGTATTTACATGAGATAAGCAGTATAACCATATTAGGCATTGGCTATCGAATAATATTCTTGCTATCATAAATGACATATAATTAAGCAATTAATCTACTAAAGAATCGATAAATTTAATATGTTTCTATAATGATATTTATTATGAACCCTGCAGTTTCCAAGTTATTGTTTGCAGCTAGGCAACAGAAGAAGTATTGTATTGATGTAGATTATAAGGCGAGATTAGATATATGTGCACTACCACACACAGAGACTGGACGCAGCAAGAGCTTAAGGGCAACCAATCGAAAGGTCACTTAACGTTTCCCATTGGACAGGTATAAGTGTCGATATCAGGAAAAAGCATTTATATCGTATGCTTGTTCATTTCACTCTGCACGGTAAGTTTGGTTCTGCATACTTTAAACACTTGTATAGTTCGAAAATACTTTCAACAAAGATAACGAATCAAAATTGAAAGCGCATTTTCCTGGATGGTATAGGTAACATATCAGGTTTTACCACCGTCTACTTCTTTATGAATGCCCTCTCTGTAAAAATGTTCATAGAACCAGTATTATGAATTAATATGTGTTGAAAGAAGGATATCACTTTTCAAAAGAGAGGAAAAATATACTCAGCAAATAAAGGGCTTGTCCAAAACTTTCATCTCGAGGGCTTACACGTACTACTTAAGCATTGAAATATCGTCCAGTTTAACGCATTTTGGTTGATGGTTCATCTATAGATGCTAATGATAATTATTATTGCTTAAAGTTGAAACCAGCAAATTGGACAATTATACAGTGCATACACCATTAGCATTTATGCATAATATTGTGATAAATCAAGAAAGGTCATTTCATTGTATATTTAGGTAAGGAATACAGGACCTGGTTTAGTGACCATGAAAGCGCTTATTGTCCTGGTACTCATCTGCAGCACAGCACGCGGACAACGTAAGCTTACAAGAGATATCACCACTGAATTAGATGTGTACGCGTCGCTACGACCCTTCTTGTTGGCGGAATGTATTGTTCAGTGTGCCGGAAGCACTAGCTGTAAATCGGTACTTCTCGAAGAGAAAACGAAAACTTGTTTTCTTAACAGAAACATCGCAAAGACACATTTAATTGGGATAAATGGATTCCAGTACAGCGAGAAGTACGATCCAGCAAAACCGCAGCAGGTAAGTTTTCTCGTCATCTATATCTATATACTTTCTTCAGTTCTGTATATCATCGTCAATCAAATATTTAGGTTCGTATAAATACTATTTGTCATCCTCTGAAAAAAACTTGAAAAGAAACAAAAAACAAAATATCCATACAAACAAAAGTCAATAAATGAATGAATAAATAGATAAAAAAAGTAAACCGAATTAAAAAATTACACAAAATTTAAACAAAAATATCAAAACATTGACACTACCACTAACACAGTGCATACGCTTCACTGGTCACTTATCTAATGAACTGGTTGTGATATATTCTATCTATATGTGTACATGTATCGTCATATGCATGATTAAGTTAAGAAAAAAAACTAAATCGAGTTGTTTCATTTACTAGATATGTTGGTGTTATTTAGCGGCTCCATTTTATTTCAATAAAAATGATTCGATAAAATATAATAAGGACATAAAAATTACTATATTTTATATTGATATGTAGCAAGCAACTGACAACATACGTTTTAAAAAAAAATGAATTCTTGCAGTCTCATATAACTTAACTTTTCTATTTCGAATTTCAGGAATTTTTACATCAGTGCACGATGATCAAGAAAAAAATGGAAACATGCTATAACAATGGTATTACTGATATTCTTCAAAATCTTATTTAATTTACTTAGTCAATTAATCTGAAATAATTGAAATGAAACATTGCACATAACTGACTTTTCCGCTGGTTATTAAAAACTAAATGGCATATATCTTTCAAGTAACAGCAGCTGAATAGCCGATATCATAAATAATTTATGTTAGGACACCATCATATGATAAAGTATTAGTTTCTGGTGTATTTTTAATTTCAAATTCCATAGTTACTGAAAGTTTCTATAAGTATGTCGCTATTGTAACTGATTGTTTCTGTTGTTTTTTGTGTTTTAGTTTGTATGCGAGTTTCAGATATACTTGTTTATATATAAAGGTCATCTTCCAGATACAAAACCTTTAACGTCGCCATCACATACAGAAATTGCAACACCACAAACAGCAATGACAACATCTGGTACAAAACTAACACCAGGAACGACGACAGCATCTAGTACAAACCCAACAACAACGTCCAAAACAATGTCTGTTTTAATAACATCCGGTAAGACAGCAACATCAACAACATCCAGTACAACACCTTCTACGACCGAACCACCACCACTTGGGACGACATTATCAAATTTCGACACAAAAATCGAACAGCTAACTACTACTCACCAGTATTGTCCTCCAAACTATGGTGAAATCTCTAAATTTTATCCACCTATATGCTACCGTATCGAAATGACAACACCATCCCCCTTTCAAGTAGCCAAGACGGTCTGCGAGGCAGAGCACGCCATTTTGCTACTTCCTGATAGTCGTGAAAGGCTTGATGCAGTGAAAAAAGTTATTTATACTGCTGCCAAAGGAATCAGTAAGTATCAATATTTAATTGATCGCCGAGACATCATACTTAACCAATTATGAGTGCAAGATGATTGTAACAGCAATTGAGAGATTGTAATGTTAACGTCAAGGTGCATTCAGATGGTGTAAAATATAGTATATAAATGCATTGATACAACTAACTTCGAATTATGAACTTCATTTTCAAGATTACAAGACAATGGAGACAAATAATTTACTCTAATTTCATCAAGTTCAAATGGCTAGTAGCGGTAACTGAAGTTGTTGACAGAAAATTGATAAACTACATGTATGGATCGAAAGACCAGGAAGATTAACTTTTCACGATTTCCATAAATTCAATCTGTATATCAATATTTTCATACTTCTATAGGCTTTTCACTTAATTTATTTTACAGCGTTTACAATTATAATAGTAAAATAGAAATATCCAATCTTATGCCTTCGCTGTTTCTTAGTTAATTGTCAAAGAGTTTTGAGTATAACTTACTAGTTCAGGAAAGTTGTTTTCTATCAGTATTGTACAGATTTAAAATTTCAATTATCCTTCTTGAATAAACGTTTGACGGTAGCGGATATCTTTTTTTAATATTCCTGAAAATGATAATTTCACTGATTTTCATTTTGGATTTGATTTGAATTATCTATAGAATATAAGTAAAATTGTTTCAATAATTGATCATGAGTATGTTTTTATTCGTAGATTTGTTATTTTTTTTATTTCGTATGGACAAGTCAGACATAGCTGTGACGAGAAAACGATCACTTACTATTGCAAATCTTGCATATTTGCAACTGCTTCATTTATGGACAGGTTAGAGTCCCTAACACATTTTCTTCTTTGTTGTGTATATCTGAATTAAAAATAAGTTTTCTACCTTCTCGACAGTATGAAATTCAGCGGTTGCATCAATATTACATGGAGCCTTAAGGTTTCATGCTGAATAAGGATAAAACCGATGAACCTTCATACTGGTAAGCTGATTTTTAATCAATGTATATTCACAAAACGACTTCAAACTACCAAAGAAGAGCTACTGTAACTGTTATATTGTGCGTGAAATCAGCTGATAAAATGTTAGGTCTTATGGTAGAAGAATAAAAATAAGGGGTATATATACATGTGAAAGAGTTTTACTCCAATCTAACGTTAACTTTTAACATTCGACCATTCAACACTATTGAATAAATAAAAAAATAAAAATTGTAATCAGGTTTGATGTTAAAGCTGAAATGAAATGAAAATATGCTGAGTGGAATAAAAATCTCAAACGAATATTTTTCTGTATACATTATTCATTTTGTTGTTTTCCTTTATCTAACATAGCATCGCCTCACATGATTTGGATTGATGCTCGGCGCAGTTCAGCTCAAGGCACATGGAAAACAAGCGACCACTCTGATTTTGATTATGACGAATTTCTGAGGACACAATGGGACGACCAAAAGACAGGTGACTGTGCCGGAATGAAATTCACACCACCGAGGAATATATCCGGTTGGATAGCTACTGACTGTTCCTTACCAGCTTGGTACATCTGTACCCCGTCGGGCACTTATGATCAATGGAGTTCATATTATACGTATGGATGATCATGACAGGTTTCACTATGGCTGACTTCATCTATAGAAGACAGCCAAGCAATATTTTCAAAACATGAATTTATTTTATTTTTTTTATTTCCATGTTTTATCTCTTATTGTTTGTTCATTTGTTCGCATACCATACTCTTACTTGGTTTTAAATGGCGTTTATACATATCTTTATACATATATCTTAATATTAAAATAATCAATATCTCCACTCATGGTGTTAAAATGGGAAACAGCCATGTCTCCATCAAAACACAATATTAGCTAAATGACAAAGGACAAAAGAGCGGAACTACTATGATAACCATTCTGTATATTTATTGTAATACCAGAAACGCTGATATATTTTATAGTATTTACAAGTAAATCAATGTTAGAAATATTTGTATAAAAAAGTAATTACAACCTTAATATAAAATCTCAAAATAGATATTATGAATTACATATGTATATATATATCAAATAACGTCTTCTTATCTGCTAATCCAGAAATAAACAATACAGGTAAGTTATTGTACATGGGATTATTGAGCATGGACTTGAAGTACAATCAATAATTATGACAAAGTCCTCATTAAGTAAGACGCCTGCAGATAGTTAAATGCCATGTCTCTTTCTGCTTTTATACACCCAAGTTTCCATTACAGTAAAATGTGTTTTCTTTCCATTTCATCTTTATTTTGTCCTTTTCTCAGAACACATAGAAGGGAAATAACTCATTAGTATTTTAGTTACAAAGAAATTAAATTAATTAGATTAATGAAACCGAACCTGAATGTTTTCATTTAGAAATGAACCATAACACAAACACATCTATGGATATTATCAATTTCAATTGACACTCTGTTTAAATATAAGGAATATTACAAATATAAAATATAGAACACAAAAATTAAAATTGAAAAACAAAAACAAAATAGGTCATATTAACATGATCGCATGGAATGTACAACGTTGATAAGACAGAATAATGTAGGTAGGTAGACAACTGCTTGTTATAAATGGTCCTTACTGCACTCGTGAACGTTTACACAACCATTTTTTAAAAAACATTTTTTAGATGTTTGAAAATTTAAACTATTAAGCCTATGTGGCTATACGATCATCGTCTCATGTTAATAGGTTTAACGCAAAGGTTAAACTTTTTTCGTGCTATAAGTTCACTTTCTAATAATAAAAAAAAGGAGCACCTCTTTTTTACTAGTGAATCACGTCGTGTATGAACAGTAAATATTTATCTCATCCATAACTTTTTCAGTTGAACAAATGAAATTTGTATCTCTAATTGTATAATTATACAGGCATCCTAATAAGATATACGTCACTGCGGTGAGGTATCTGGAGGCGATGACAACCTGTTCACCAGGGCATGAAAAATAATTTATGATGAAACTTCAGCATGTAATAAAGCCACGTTATAAAGTTTTACAAATAACACAGATGTGAACATAAGTAAAAAATCTCGTTGACATACATGTACAATTCGTGGTATAAACATGCTACGATTTATACTGTTCTACATCCTGTTTTATAAACGTGTCATGGACAAATGGATAACATTCCATGGATACAACAGCATTTTATATAGAAATCTGTCTTTCCTAGCCTTTTGGAATAACTATTTGCAGTATATATACAAAAAGATCCTTTTTCGTCCGCGTGGCACAAGGGCAATGTAAAACACTTCAGACTTTGATTTCTAATCATGTGATGATACCAAATAATAGACAGTTTTACATATCAATCAAAAATGTTCTGTTTTACTGAAATGGAGGGTCACTACATACCTTGTCGCAGTAATTACATATGTGTATCTTCATTGAAACCTTGATTAACAGATTGGTACTTCTCCTTAGCGCTTTTGCCATTACTTGGATTTTCAACCTCATCTACATCCATGGTTAGATTTTTACTTTGCATGCTTTCTGCATCTTCAATCGTATCCGGAAGTTTTCTACCCAACGTTTCCGGTAAGACCAGCGTTGCAAATCCACCAATCACAGCCAGAACACCAAAGAATATGATAGGAACCGATTTGTGTGTGTAGTCGCCCTAAAAACCAAGACACCTTATGATTATCATTATTGAAATTGTAATATCGTCCACTGTTGTGACTGTACTTTCAATGAACGTGACTGTTACTGAGACTCCCTTATTGAATATCACTTATACAACCTAATTTCTTTGGGAGTGTAGCAAATAAGTGCCTCTTTTATGCCCCAACCAGCATAGAGCAATATATCTTATTCAACCATCTTTTTAATGAGGGGTGAAACTCAAGCCAAATTGAAAACTCAATTGAAGAAAAAGAAAATAAATTTGTAGTGTTCTAGCAAGTACAGAATCCATGCTTATTTATACCGGTATATGTACTCACAAACATTTTAATTTATGAGCCAGATGGTGATTTCCACGATTAAAAAAGCCATATATTTAGCATTGATGTTGGAGGTACTAGTATATGTAAGAGTGGAATTTTCATCGTTTTCACAAAGCCTTTTTTAGTAGATGACAAAGTTATTTATATATTGATAGCTAATTATCCAAGATGGACCTCTTCCGCCAAGAAAAGGATTAATACTATGTAATTGTGTAAGTACTAGTCTCTTGAAGTTCATACCTTTTCATTTATAGGTTTATATATCTTTGGTGGAATCTGTTCACTGGTTGAACATGAGAACTGGGCACGTACAATTCCTACTTCACTGTCAGATTACATGGTAAAGAAATATGAATTCACAAAAGGGAACCGTTAACCAAAACAAAATAAGCCAAAAAAGGGTTAAAGAATTACATCCACATTACACATACCAATAACAGGATCTGAGGCGCAAGCAACCCACCAACTCTTGTGAGAAAAAAACAGCAGCCCATTCCGATACTCCTGGAAAATCAATTTATATTTCGTTGATAGAATACCATTATCATATACCAGTAAGTTATCTCCCCTACATACACTTTATCAGTAAATTAATATTTCACCATGATGATGATGATGATGATGATGATGATGATGATGATAACGATTACAGCAAAAATTATCAATAAATGTCCATAGAAAAAAAAATAACCCCCTCCCCCTCCAAAACTTACCTGATAACGGTAGGGTACAACTCTGAAGTATACAACACGATTACACTGAACACACCGCCCATACCAAATCGGCCAATGATTGCGAAGCTGGTAGATGCCTTAGATATGTCCTCACCTTGAGCAATGAAGAGTAAAACAATCTCTGATGCTTTTCTGTTTTGCTTCATGCTCCAAATAAGTTCACGAGGTGAATGTTTTGGCTTACATACGTTTGATGTGAATTGGAATGTTTGTCCATTAATATGTCAGATATCAAAAACCGAATCAACAATTCAAAACATTGTTTAATGTTGCTTTGAAATTAAATCAACTACCCGGAAGAATAGACCTAACGTATTGGTGGTTATTTTCATAGGATTATATTTTCGTTATTTCGCAGTACATTAATATGATCACGAAAATTTAGTTCGTTAAATAATGAGACACGTGTGTATAATATGTGCTTTCATATGCAGATCGGGAAATTTATTTCGTTTGAATATAATTCAATTGTTTAAAACAAACTTTTTGTCCACACCAATAGCTTTAAGGCAAACTACTTCTTCGGTGCAATATCCATTAGTAACATATACTACAATAATGAAGATTGTACAGGTGTTTTGTTGTACATTCACAACCTCATAAAGTAAGAAGCTCCTAATTACGTGACGTAACTTAAAATGACTTTGTCCATCTAAGAAAGGGTTGCTTGGACTTCCGAGAAGAAAGGAAAACAGGACAGAAAACCTATGAAGTTCACTTTTATCTTTTTACGAGAATAGTAAACCTCATTATTGCGATGACTTATGGTTACCTGTTCCAGCAAATGGTATAACTCCAGCCAGGATACAGCAGGCTCCGCCAAGGAGGAAGTAGAAAGCCAAAGGCTTACGTCGGCCGAATCTTAAAACGGAACATAGCTCATTTCAAACTGAAATCCAATTTCATGATTGTTATGAAAAGAAGCAAACATTTCTTTCAAAAGGTAATGCGTTTCAATTACGTAGTCATTTTGATACCCGGATTGATATTATTTATAAGTGATAGCGCATCTATCTCCTTGCATGACTCTCCACGATTTATTCGACTTCTGTGCATTGGTATACATTTATTTATAGTGTTCAATATTTATCAATCATAGTTCAGTTCCCGTCTCCTGGAATTCTTTAGTTTACAAACTTTTTGATGATGTATATCACTCCAACGTAGGCTACCATCTCGACCATTGCTCCAATAAAGAAGTTAAGATACTTGTTCCCCGCTAGACTAGTGATTTGGAAAGTAAGACCATAGTATCCGATGGATGTTGTGAACCTGGAAAAATAGAAAAAGGGTAGAAAATATAAAATCTTTATTCTCATTTGAGCGCATAAAAATGATGGCGAGTGTCATAGGTGTGCAGAAGACGCTTACCCTTCCGGAACACCTTTTCATGATCCTTGTATCTTTCTGTTATATATATGATGTTATGTTGTTTTTGAAAACAAAACATATAAATTGTAGCTTGGCATTGGGAACGGCACGAATATAGAACATGCATAATGAAGATACAAAATATTCAGAAATGAATATCACGTTTCAATTTACAATTTCAATTTTAGGACTGGATATCATACTTTAAAAATGAATAAACATGTATTGTATCACACAGCTGTTTCGACCTTCGCGTGCAATTAGGCGAATTTACAGTAAAAATGCTAATAAACAGTGACAAACGTACTCACCAAAGGAAAAACAACAAGAATGTCCTGTTTCTGGTTATTCGTGTCTTCATCAGGTCAAGGGCAGTGAACTGCTTCTGGCTTTTGTCTTTGGTAACCACGCCTTCTTTCCGAATAGCATCCATGATGTCAGCCGGATACGGTAGTTTGTTGAACTTTGCGATCCTTTTCACCACAGCTTCCGCGTCATCGAATCGCCCTTTCATTATCAACCATCTTGGTGATTCTGGGACCCAACTAAGACCATTGAAAATATTTTCTACAGTCAATTGTTTTGTTTTGAATGTCTTTTTTCACTAATAAAACAAAACAAAACTTGCAACAATCTTGTAGACATGTAGACCTATACAATATTGATCGTTTTACAATGTCACTGTCATAGATTTAACATTATGATTATATATAAATGAAAAATGAGCTCATGATAATTGCATAACCTTCCCATCCCTCTACAATAATTATGCTAATGCATCAGATAAAACCCGTTTTAATAGAATTGATCTTAAAGAAAAATTATCGCTGCGACCAATAATTAAAGTCAATGGCATTACAACAAATTACACACAAGTATATGGAAAGTTGTTTTTGTGTGCATAACGTTGATATATTTTCACAATAGCTTTTAAGGTTTCACTGTAACATGAATCCAGATTTTTAAAAAAAGGGACAGCACACCAACCCCAGAACGTAAAACTAGAGCAAAATTAAATCTTTAATACGGTTTTATTTCAAAGGAACGTCACGTGTTTATTCGAAATTTATTAAACGATTAACTGTTAAATCATATATTTTCATAATGTTCAATGTTCACAGTCTTCATTTCGTGGATAAATGAAGCTCAATATATCGACTTATAACAACTGTAAAGAAATCGTAGACATGTGAATTCTTAGATTAAAAGTTACAACAAAATCAACGGAAATAAATTCTCCACGAAAATTAATGATTTTACAGTGAATCTTACAACAAAGATAGGATTGCTTAAGCAAATTTTACATGCTATATTTTACCATATATAAAACACGAGAAGGATAGGCGGGAGGGAAATGGCCAGTTGTATGTAACGCCATGTTTGGATGAAGTAAGCGATTCCCGCCAGCAGCAGAACGCCCGTACCCCAGTAACACTCGAATACCGCTCCCGCCAATCCGCGATAATCCCGTACCGCTAGCTCCATCACCAGGGCAAATGTTGATGTCTGCAGACCCTGAAAGTAATATCAGACATGAATATTTCAACCTTAGTTTTAAAAAAAATGATTGATATCGTGTGTACATTTAGTAATATGATCATAAATGACGTAAACTCCCTTTGTCGGTGTGCTTCGTATTTACCTCTTCGAAGGATTATTCATAGCATAAATAATTTAAAACAAGCATAAAAACAAGAAAATATATACATGTAAATATATATAAGGCAAAGCATGAACAAAATAGAAATTTAAACGGATTTTCCTGAAAATGAGCAGGAAGAAAAAGTCCGGGTGCCCTAGAAGGGTAAGCGTCTTCTAATAATAATTTGTTGCACTACCCTCATCCATCCATCACATTATTGAGATAATTTATTGACTACTCTATGTACAATTCATTGACGACAGCTTCATTCTTTGCTAGAACAATGTGACACAAGAAGTCATTGCTACCATGCCCTTAACTGGTCCATGCATCCATTGACACCGTCAAGACTGGGATTTCTATGACCGTAGCTGATACATCAACCTGATTAGAATATAGATTACATAATGTATTGAGTTATGAAGGTCTGACAAATACCGCTAAGGAGTCCAGTTCCAAAATTTTGCCAGAGTATGATTCTTTTCGGCATCTATCATGATTGAGTATTCCGAATAACAACCATACTAAGAAGGATACGGCCATTGCAGGCTTACATCCGGGATGTAATATGTATTGTATTGTGTATTCACTATCTTCAAATATTTCAACAATGCTTCTTTTGCCTGTTCAATCACCTGTCTCCGCCAATTTTCACACGCTACCAAAAAGGCATATGAAGGAAGAGTTTTGATTGACAAAAAAAAAAAAAAAAATGGTATGGAAAGCATTGAAGTTATCTAAACATAGCTCATTACCGGCCACAGCAAAACTATCTGTAATTTGATCGCGAGGACATAGAATCATGAACATGCAAACAAGCAACCCCTTCCGAAAAAAGTCCAGTCTAGAAATAGCATTCTCATTTAAGTAGTCCATGCATTCATACGAAGGTATGTGTTCTATGTAATATGATCTCTTTGTTACCAAATCATGACATGTAAACAATCCTGAACTTTAACGATGTGTTTCTGCCTAGGATAATGTTTCACAAGCTTTCATCCTGATGTAGTCAGTACAATAGCCGTTGTAAATATGCTATTGCATTTCTGTCCACATATACTCAACAAAAAAGAAAGGTTAACATGTTTCCTTGGCGAATACCTGTAAATGAGTGAAAGCAAAATGACGTTTGTGCAATATTAGAAAATGGTAATGTTTTACATTACAAAATCCAAGGGGGTTACCAAAATCATTCAAGCGTGAAAGTCTGTATTAGCGAAAGAGCCTGCACGATGTTACTGCGACTAACTTGTGTCTTCGCTTGAATTTCATAAACATTCAAACTGACAACTGTTCCTTAGATCCTTAGGACTTAGAAATCACCTAATCTTGCTATCAACTTTATCATTATGCCCCGGCTGTCACAAGTACAGAGAGAAAAGGCTGTAGGCATGATCCAGGTTGGGGAGTCTCGCCGTCGAGTTGCACGGCATTTTGGTTGCAGTGTTAAGATAATTTGCCAGTTGGTAAGTCGTTTAAATCAAACTGGGTCAACATCCGATCGTCCCCGAAGCGGCCGACCCCGTAAAACGACCGCCAGGGATGACCGTCGTATATGATTGATACACTTGCGCAATCGATTCGTAACCGCAGTAGAGACTACAAGGACATTGTTCTAGCGTCGTGTGTCTCCCCAAACAGTCCGCAACAGGTTGAGGGCCTACCAATTGAAAGTGCGGCGTCCCTACACTGGACCCAATGTGTTGCGACGTCACCGTAATAATCGGCGTAACTGGACCCGTGTTCACCGTCGTTGGGCCTTACGACAATGGAACAATGTTCTGTTTTCAGATGAGCCCAGATTTTGGCTGCAACACGGTGACGGAAGGCGCAGAGTTTGGAGGCGACGAGGGGAGCGTTTTGCGAACTGCTGCGTCGCAGAACGGGACCGCTTTGGCGGCGGAAGTGTAATGGTTTGGGCAGGTATTTGTGGGGGGACTCGTACCAGGCTTGTTGTGTTAAATGGCAATTTAACCGGCATTCGATGTCGGGACGAAATTTTAAGACCAGTGGTTCTGCCATTCTTAAGACGCAATTCGTACATAATTGGTAAGGATTTATGAAGGGGTTAATTAATTAATCACAGAATAAAGTAGTGTTACCTTTCTTTTTTGTTTATTATATGTTTGTCAGTGTGTCAGTGTGTTACCGAGGTCCAAGTTTTCTTTATAGACTTCAGTTTGCGTGCTGAAATCCAACAGTCGTCAGAAGTTTGAAATAAAAAAAAAAGACTTCAATTATGAAGTTCGTGTCAATACGCGTTAAATATCATATATAAATTTAGTTATTTACCTGAATGAAGACTCCTTGGAAAAATCTCAAAACAGCAAATGCAGTGAAAGTTGTAACAAAATATATGCCGATTCCTATGGCAACAGGCACGTACAAGCATACCAACATCGTCCATTTCCGTCCAAAAAAGTCACCAATATGCCCGAACACCAAACCACCTGTCATCACTCCGAGGAAGTAGATCGTGGTGGCCAGTTTTCCAAGATAGATGTCGTCACATACTAAGTCCCACTGTTAACAAAACCAACGGTATGCTTTAGTCAAAACAATGGTTGGAAATACACACCGTTATGCCAGGATGGCCATCAAAAACCATATCATAATGATAGCAATGTATATTGCTCTACCAATATAATGAAGCGATAGTAAGAGATGGTAATGTCCGCTGTTCTATGAATTTGGATCTCAAACATGAAAAACCGATGGAAATATGTTTCATTACATCAATATGACTATCAAAACTGATAAAATAATGATAAAACATATATATAACTGTACCAATAAGAGGAAGCGATAGTTTGAAATTGAAATAGGTTCCACTCCACCAATGTGACTATTACAAATGATACAACTAATGATAGGAAATGCATGACAATGTTTCGATCAAACTTTCAATATGGAGCATGTTAACCATACTATCAATAATACGACTTAAAGAAGACATTCACTGTCCAACAAATATGTTACGATAATTAAATGTAGTGGATGATCAAGAAACAATTTCTAGGACATAAAGACTATAAATGTAATAAGACGATGCTGAAAGCATAGAGTTTCCCGCTCATTCTGCCATATTGGTCATGCAGCTGTGGATATATTCTGTAACTTTGAGTTAATGAAACAATCTTGACTGTAACCTTTTAAAGTTTCTATAATCCCTCAGTGGCTACTTTAATGATGTTAAAAGAAATTAAGTTTTACCTCCATGGTAATGGTGGTTTCACGATCAGTGTAAGGGGTATACGCCCACATCCCGTTAGGGTTCGACTTGCAGGTGATCGTGGTATTTTGACCGTTTCCTAGGATGTAGGATGTCTTACACTTGCCATACGTGACACCGAGGATAGTGGTGTTCCCAGTTTCTATGACATTGTCCTGACATTGGTGTGTTGGTGTGGAGCCGTAAAAAGCCATACACACGTGATTGAAACATACTGAGAAATAGTTCAAAGCCAGCAGTAGGAATGTCACTGTTTGGAACTTTCCGGGATGTCCCAGTCTTGGCAGCAATTCATCTAGTGCCACCGTCTTTGGTTTCTTTGTATCGACGTTTGTTGTAACTTCAGACATGACCAGATTCTCGATTCTGTAAGATGTGAAAAGCATTTATCATCACTTAAATTAACATCAATCCAAAAGTGGAGCAATTAATTAACTATAAAACTTGATTGAAGACTGAAATCCTCGGGTCTCATATTTAGAACATAACGTCATTTCGACTTAAAAAGATTGACGGAATGATCTTTCTAAACATCACGTTCCGTTAAAAGTCAATGTGCAAATATTTCAAATAAACACTCGTTAAGCTAACAAAGAACTCGAGTTTGAGTTCACTAGTCAATGTCCGTTATAATTCATGTCACTGCCAGGTAAGGCGTTGGTACGTATAGAAAACATGTAGACAGTTTTGATTTTTCTTGTGTTTGTTACCGACAGCTGAATATGGTATATATTATAGCGGTTGGTCTGTGTGTGATAGTCAACGACAACGACAAACGGCGATTAATTATATAACTTAACATTAAGAATATATCCGTGTCGTTATTTTTCTTAGTTTGAACATAGAAGGTGGATGCCTCAGGGACACACTATTAAACAGGATCGGAAAATACGATATAAATCCTATTTCTAAAATACTCTCTAAACATAAGGCAGAAAACACACATGCTGTAGATTTTAAATAATTTAGAATGTTACACACTCTGCAGGATACCTTCATTTTAGTCGCCTCATATCGTTCACAGTTTGTTCTCTTCCCGAGAATACAAAAGGTTTCTCTGGGAGGGAACGTCATTGTTTCTGGTATATAATATCACCGTAATTAACCTACCAAGTTATCATAACAGTTTGAAGGAGATTTACCAAATATTTACACCACGAAGAAGGATAATGGGTCGTCTGGAGATTAAAGACAATAAGTGAAGTACATAAAACATGTGCATTAAGGACTTTCCAACATTGAATGAGCCACAGTTGGTAAACCAGTACTTGAGATTAAATGATAAAACAACCGTACAGTGTTAGTTTAGTTTATGAGTTCTAGTTTTTGTTTACATCGACATAAAATGTTAAGACTCACCTGAAATTCTTTGCAGGAAGTTTACTCCGCTCAAACTACATATTAGAAATTCAAAACACTAGAGATGTGTAGCCACGAAGTACGAAATCTCGGTTCAATGTAGTAAATGACAACATACAATGTACAATACCAGGTGTGGTACAGATGTGTATTTCGTGTTTACCTGTCTTCAAACCGGTCTATTAAAAGCGACGACGTGTGTTGGACAAATAGCCGGCTGGGTTTGAATAGGGATATACTTTTAAATCAGATCGACTGTCTGAGGAGGTACATTGCTGTTGAAAAGTGGTCTTACTAGTTAACTAATTTATATTCAAAATTTTATTTCATTTATCTTGATTGTTTAAAGCTACACCCACTCCCTCAAAATCTAACATTTCATAGCGTTCTAATTCAATGAATATGTATAGAAAGATACTAGTTATTCTGCATCAATTCACATACCAATAACAAATCTTATCTGGTTGTATTGTGAAGTATCACACGGAGTCAAACAGAGGACAGCGCGGCCACTCGTACTTCTACGGGATGTATACCTGTGTGATGTCACCTAGCTCAATAACAAAACAAATTTTCCTCTCCTCAAATTCTGTATGTTTATGACGACACTCGTGTGTTACCTTTGTGTACACATTTACGTCTTATATACTCAGTACACATTCAGGTATATACACATTCCTCGTGCAACATCGGCCGTCAATTAAAGCGATTTGGTGTCGGCAATGCGGTGGTGACACAAGTAGAGAATCGGAATGACATCAAATGATTTCGACAATCCACCTGAACATCTTGTTTACTTACAGTTGTGGAATCGCACAACGGTAAACGATGTGCGCACGATGCCTGCACGATGTGCGCACGATGTCTGCAAGATGTACGCACGATCGGAAAATTGAACGAAATAACCTATCGCTCATTTGTACGCACGTAGTGCGATTTTATCGTGGTTGATATAAATTTAGAAATTGCTTAAATAAAAGGTGGGTGGGTGGAGGGGGGGGGGGAGGGTGGGGGTGGTTATTGTGGAAGATAACTTGACCGTTGTTCAGTACCATGGCGAAATTATTTGTCAAGATGTTCATTTATTTTCATTTATATTGAAGGAGGACAGCGCACATCCACTAACTACGTGTTGTAAAGACATATCTACAGCTGCAGAACGTCACCATGATACCCGAACCTGCTGTGTCACCTGATTTCTCTCCAACCGACCATGTTTGGGAAGAAACGGAGTGACGATTGCATTTGCAGTTCAATTTTATCATCTTATCCACATAAATGAAACTTTCCCGAAATTTTCAATACGTCCATGTGTTTACTGCATTGCTATTTCTGAACATAAACTTTAACTAAATAAGTTTGCAATGGGGGAAAACTGGTGGTGTTCGTTTGTCGTACCAACGCTTTATCATAGCTGAGGAATAAATACGGTTGTGGTTACACACAACGCACTAAAAACTCCTTACGCACATCGTGCATACATCGTGTGCACATCGCCACATATACAGTATCTAACGCACAACTGCGCGATAGGATCGCACATTTTGTATGTGGCTTGGTAAAAAAATGCGTTTTTAATATTACGAATTGAAACGGAAGAACTCGTGTAGTTGACTGAATAGCGATAACAGGTGTATCAAATTATTAGTCAATTTCAATTCGACATTTTTCGAAATAACACTGGACCCTGCATTAACTAGTCTTTGTATATTTTCACCGAGAGTGTCGAATGGCATGCGCCAGGCAACAAAATAATTGTAAACGGATGTATACGTGACAGGTACGGATCAGTACTGGGTAGTTATTACAAACACAACACTTTAGATTTACCTGGGTACATATTTGTATTTACAAATTGAAAGAAAAATGAGAGTAATACAGAAGTATTGGAAATAAATTTCCTTTCTGACGGTATGCGGTTTAAGATGTTTAATTGACGTCCATTTCATGTTAACATTAATAATAAATATGTAATGAGTGTCTGTATACTTATGTGTGGCATTTGTAAACGAAATACTTACAAGTGTATATAACTATTCCAGTATGTATCTTATTGGTCAACATGTGCCAACCTATAGATTTACGGCTTAATAATAAATATACTTAGTAGTACTCTTATATATCTAAAGATGAAAATTAATTTCTAAATATTACACCAACCACGATAGCATCGCACATCTTTGCGATAGAACCGCACAATGTGTCTATCTAAAGTGCAATAACTTATTTCGCCTAGTTTTCCATTCGTGAGCACAATATGAATACATAATGTGTAAATCGCACATCGTGTAACTATATTTGTTTTCAGACTTCGTTATACATCAATTCAAATATGCATAATAGTTATGTATAATATGTAACAAACATTGATATATGACAGGTTATAAAAATGGAAATTGATGATTAGAGGACATACATGTACATCGATTTACTCACCCACGTCCAAAAATGCTACTGACACAGATGGTATCTTACCCTTGTATTGTGAATGCAGGTCAACTCCAGTCTAATGCTATATATATTACCACGAACAATACGCAGAGGAAACGTCGTCTCCAGAGGTAGAGAAACGGGATACACAGGTTCTAACGTATTCTGGGTTATTGTAACCTTCACGGTCCAAAGATTAACAGTGCCACTGCAATTTGATGACCTTCAACGTATACAGATAAACTAGGTCAGTGGCATGCGTTACATGCACAGTAAGCTTTTAATGATTTACAGAATATACGGTTTCTTTGATATCAAGATATGTGAAGGTAAATCACGACAAACAAATATCAAATAGCTTGGAAAGAAAGAGGATATTAAGGTCAGATTTTTGTACATTGTTAACTACACTTGGTAAAGCAGTCAGAACAGCCACTACATTGGCTTTAATGTGTAGAATGTATAGAAGTGAAAAACTTTACAGAACAGACACATAAGTGACAACAAAATACATAGAGTTAAACTTCTACACAGAACAGACACAAACGTGACAACAAAAAACAGAGTTAAAATTCTGTACAGAACAGACACAAAAGTAACAACAAAATACAAAGAGTTCAACTTCTGTACAGATGAGACGCAAAAGTGACAACAATAACACAGTAAAACTTCTGTACAGATGAGACACAGAAGTAACAACAATAACACAGTAAAACTTCTGTACAGATGAGACACAAAAGTAACAACAAAATAGATAGAGTTAAACTTCTGTTCAGATGAGACACAAAGGTAACAAAAATAACACAGAGTAAAACTTCTGTACAGATGAGACACAAACGTAACAACAATAACACATCAATATACATAGTTAAACTTCTGTATAGATGAGACTCAAAAAAGACAACAGAATACATAGAGTTAAACGTCTGTATAGAACAGACACCAGAAAGACAACAATATACATAGAGTTCAACTTCTGTACAGATGAGACACAAACGTGACAACAATAACACAGGGTAAAACTTCTGTACAGATGAGACACAAAAGTGACAACAATAACACAGGGTAAAACTTCTGTACAGATGAGACACAGAAGTAACAACAATAACACAGTAAAACTTCTGTACAGATGAGACACAAAAGTAACAACAAAATAGATAGAGTTAAACTTCTGTACAGATGAGACACAAAAGTGACAACAAAATAGATAGAGTTAAACTTCTGTTCAGATGAGACACAAAGGTAACAAAAATAACACAGAGTAAAACTTCTGTACAGATGAGACACAAACGTAACACCAATAACACATCAATATACATAGTTAAACTTCTGTATAGATGAGACTCAAAAAAGACAACAGAATACATAGAGTTAAACGTCTGTATAGAACAGACACCAGAAAGACAACAATATACATAGAGTTCAACTTCTGTACAGATGAGACACAAACGTGACAACAAAAAACAGAGTTAAACTTCTGTACAGAACAGACACAAAAGTAACAACAACATACAAAGAGTTCAACTTCTGTACAGATGAGACGCAAAAGTGACAACGATAA